TATATATATATATATATATCCTTTAATTGATTTTTTTGCACCAACTAACGTTTGTGAACACTCCAACTAGTCTTTGAAATTCAAACCAGTCATAATGAATTGATTTAGTGGATAAAAATAAAAAAAAGTGCAGATAAAATAGATTATAAATTCCCCGTGACGTGTCATACAAAATGAGGTAGATTATGGGGTAGCGAAGAATATTTTTTTCTATTGTGGAAGAATAATAATAAAAGGGGTGAATTACATGGGATTAAAATTTTAAATTAATGATATAATATAATTTATATCATTTAAAATATTAAATGGTGGATCATTTATTTTTTAATAATTAATTTTTTTACCTTATTAAAAATTCATGATATTTTATACATAAATTTATTTAATGACATAACTTATATTACAAGATTATTTTATCTCTAATTTTTATCTTCTATATCACTTTTTTTATACATTTGATTATAAGTTATATAAAAATAAATAACTTTTTTTTTTTATTTTCAAATCCCTTTTCATTTGACTTAAAACTCGAACTTAAGATTTAAAAATTTTAACCTCTAAACTAATAAAATCCATTAACTCTTTGTTAAATCAAAATAAAATATTTACAAGATTAATCTTCAAAAATTAAAAATGTAACAATTTAATTCTAAAAATTTAAAAATTACAAAAATTAGTAAATTAAAAATAATTAATGGATAATTTTACCACATACACAAGAACAATATAAGATATTTACAATCAAATTAAGTGATTAACTCAATTTAAAAAAAGAAATCCGACTAAAATTAAAAAAAATTCTTACTTGTATTCTTTTAATCTTTTTAACTTTTTGTCTTAATTCAAATAAGAAATTTTTTTAATTTTAGTCAAAATTCTTTCTTTCAAATTGAGCTAATTACTTGATTTAATTATAAATATCTAATACTATTCTAGTATATATAAGAATGTCATCTGTTAATTCTTTTTAGTTTATTAATTTTAAAAATTTTTAAACTTTTAGAACTAAATTATTACATTTTCAATTTTTAAATACTAATTTTGTAAATATTTTATTCTCATTTTAATAGCAAGTTAATGGATTCCGTTAGTTTTGGGGTTAAAATTTTCAAATTTTAAACTTTAAAGACAAAAAATTTTATAATATAAGGTGAAGGGTTAAAATTTTCAAATTTAATAAAATAAAGAACTAAATATATATTTTAGGGTGCATATGAGATTGTGGTTAAAAACTTTTTTGTGTAATTGTACAACACTTCTAAATATGTGTGTGTTTGATAATTTTTTTCATATTGTTTTTTTAGAAAATTACAGAAAACCATAGCAGAATTACAATTATTTTATATATGAAGTCGGAAATCTTATTTTGGAGTTTTCTGATGATGATTTTTATGAAAAAAATCTAATATTTAATAAAATTATAAAATTACCTATTAAAACCCAACTTCATATAATTCAATTATATCATAATTTATAATATTTTAATAATAACAATAAATTTAAAAAATTAAATTATTAAAAAATAGTAAATATTATCTATTTTAATAATTATATACTTATAATATTTTTTAAATTTTAATTAATAATTAATAAAATATATCATATTTCATCTATAATATTTTTAAAAAATAAATAATTAAATACCAAAATAATTTTTAATTACAATTACAATATAATACAATTCATTATAGTTACAATTACAGTTATAATTATAGTAATCTTAAATACACCCTTAGTCAAAAAAGAGAAAGAATAGGGAATTATTTAGTAATGGGATTATTTTATTAATTGCAACATTAGTGGGTAGGAATTATCCTTATCCAAATATTTATTAGTAGAATTCGACTACTCAGTAGTCACAGGTGCCCCTTAAGTCAACAGTGGAGACTTTTTGTTTCTTGATACTTGATAGCAACAAAGTTTACTAGAGTTTCCCTTTTTTAGAGTAGTTTTTTTATTCTTTTTCTCACAATTAAAACCCCCATTCGGTTTTTCTCTAATTGTTAGTATTAGCCGAAGTACTAAATACTAGGGGTGTTCGCGGTGTGATTTGGTTTAAATTTTATTATTTTTAAATCAATTCAATTTAATCAGTTAATGATATTTTTAAACTGATTCAATCTATTATTATGTGATAACCAAACCGATTTAATTTAAATCGGATCGGTATGGTTCGATCAGATTGATCGATTTTTAACATTATTAAATATATAAAATAATGTAAAAATATTTTAATATCAAATAGAAAGTATAACTATAAAATACATTAACATCCAAATTAGTAAAAATATAATAAAAGGTAAAAATTATAAACGAATTCTTATATTCTTCTATATTTGTAAAAATTGAAAAGCTCTGAAAATTCTTCTTTGTTATATCACTAGAGGTACCAAAAATAATAAAAAATAATTTCAAATTTCTAGCACAGTGTAAATAACTCTTCAAGGTTAAAATTAATTTTTTTTCTTAATACACTAATAATTTAATCACATTTTCTAAATTCTGTTAAAAGTGAATAACATTTAACATGAATATTACTAAAATTGGTTAGAAGCATTCAAAATCAAAATTTAAAACTTCTAAACCAAATATCTAAGAATAGTTGAATATTAAAACTAATTTTATTATATGGTTTTAAGGCTTTTAGAATAATACTTATTTAAAACTTAGTTAGGGAAATCATAAGATTATTTTAAGAATAAATTAGAAATTTAGGGTTTTAAGAGTAAAAGCGCAAACCAATTCTGAGAGAATAGAGCTGTAGGTGATTTAAACATTTAGAATTAAAGTTAGAGTGTATGATTAAAATGGAGAAATAAGTTAGGGAATATGGACATGTTCTATTTTTATTTTTTTAATTAAGTTAATGAAGTTATAATCTTATAAAATAAGAAAAAGAAAATTTAAAATACTACAAAAAATTTGTTATATTATTTACTTAAATTATCTTTTAATCGGATTTTATTTTGTAACCGGGCAATTCGGGCGATTTGAAGGTAAAACCATGAATCCAACCAATTATATCAGTTTTAAAATTTTAAAATTCAAACCAACTCAATTTTATATCGATTTGGATTGGATCAATTTAGGTCGGATCAATCAGATTGGATTAGATATGAACACCTCTACTAGATGGGCATACTTTAAAATATAATGGGGTTTCTTTTTTATATAAAAAAAAAAAAATCCTTTTATTAATTTTTTTTAGTTAAGTGATTGATTAAATTTAAACAATAATAAGAGTGCTTGTGCGTAGGGACAGGGATGGCAACAACCCGTAGGGTCAGTGAAATGCTCACCAACTTGGCTCCTGCCAATGAGAGAAGACAGAGATCCACAGGAAATTGTAATATAAGGAAAGAAGAATTTTTTTTTTTTTAATTAACCTCTCAATACTTTCAATAATCATATTGAATCTCAATTAATTTGAAATTGAACAATATCAAATTTCATTAGAAGAAAACTCTCTCAACACTTATTTTTTCATTTATAAAATTCAAATTTGAGATTTTATTTAGGGAATATTAAATTTCTTTCATTCGGAATTGATAGCAAAGAATAGAAGATGGAGGTTGGAAATTAAATTCCAAATTGACATGTTTGTTGACTTAAGGATGGATCCAAGTAAGGACTGAGTCATCATGTTTTTTCTAATAAGGAAAATCTCAAACAAAAGGAAATCCAACATGGATTTTGCAAGTGGTGTCCAATGGCTGCAAAACATACGCACCTTTCAAAATCGGGACATCAGACTTTTGAATATTGGGTACATCCCGACAATCCCGGCCTCAAATACTACAGAACTTTACTGTCGTCATTGACTCTGTTAATTTTAATAAATTTATTTTAATATTTTAAATTAAAATAATGATAACAAGAATTAAAAATTAAAATAAAAATTTAAGATTAATGATGTAGTTTATATTATATTATTAAATTAATTGATATATTTAAAAAAA